AGAGAAGCACTCTCTGTGAATGTTATCTTGAGTTTACTAATACCTGCTCTCTCCCATTCAATACACTTAATTTAATTGTGATTAATTGGTGAATTAGGAAATAATTTCAAATAAAATTAACAAGTAATAAAATTGCACATAAGTAATAAATATGATAGTATTTACAATACACTCTTCAATTTCTACTATTGTCACTATTGTACAAAAGAGCTCACCTCACAATATCACCCGCTGCGAAGAGGGTTCATTGGCCCCAAATTTCAGCTATCGAACAACCTGCACAAGAAAAAACATTAATGAAATCAAATAACCAATTTTTCAACATCAACCCTAATATATTACAAAAGATTTAATCATCACATTTCATGAGCAAAGTCATTGATAATTAAAATGAAAGTGAACTGGTATACTACATTAAAACTCTTCTGGCAGAGATAGGACCATCTTCCGTGGCTTTCCGTGGCTCATAGCAGGTTGGGCACAGCCACTACCTTGCTGCCCTAGCCGTTGACCCGCCTGCGGTGACCTTACAGTCCCCCCCCCCTTCTGCGTTTTTTTACTAATCGCAGAAAAACTTTTGAACGAAAACTTAGATTTGAAGTTTCTTATCGAACCCAATCAATAATCAGATGACGAGGGAAAATTATTATTCCGGATGAAACACAGCGCTTCTTGATCTTTTTTTCTTCTTTTTCTGACAGGATTGCTGAATTGCTTCAGCCGGTTTTCTCATTTCCGCGATTGAATCGGAGTTGCAAGACATCGCCCAGCGCTATTAACACGTTTACACTATCAGAGAGCTCAGAAAGAGATCTGAGAGCTCTCTAATACAACAATAATTTTTTGTTAGCTTCACGCAGGCCCGCGCTGAACACAACCATAACTAAAGCAGGAGCACCTAGAGGTAATTATGAAGTCACTTCCCCGCCCTGCTACTTCGATCTAATTCTTCACGCAACTTTAAATCTCATAAAAAATTGTATTCTAGAATAATTTATAAATTGTTACATTAAACAATTAAAACAGGGTTACCCACAATATTCGTGTCGTTTAAAAAAATGAGAACACTTCGTAGAGTACAATAATTAAAGTATATTTAAACATACATTTTATTAATTTAAAATATACTTCAAGTAATAATGAGCAATATTTTGCTAGCTAAATGAAAGTTTTTCGGTCTTCAAAGGTGTTTATAACTTTTCAGTAACTGAGTATAAGAGTAAAAACAATTATAATTAAAATGTATTTTGATTAAGAAAGTGGATCATTAGCTGTTATAACTTCGTACTGTAAATCACAGTGTAATATGGACTTTCATTACCCATGTAATGAAAAGCATGTCTAGGGAAATACATATTTATTTAATAGCCAACTTATGTTAATCCGTTGAGCTGAATAAGAAGTGTTTAGTGTTACATAGTAATTCATTACAATCTAACCTTTAACCTAACTTGTAGAATAAAACAGATGATTACCCGTGTTATTAACTGGCAATTAAATTATAGGGACCGGAATTTGATCTGCATCACATAAGTATAAGGTGAAGCATTGGTATCTGTATGTTGGATTTCTCGTAAAGATCCTGAGACAAAGATGGAAAGAAAATGTTGCAAGCAAATTAACTATCTAACAGTTGCAGACAACGTGCACGTATTAATATACAGTATGCACGTTCGGGGCCTGAGACCTTACAACCTTCATCTGCCTCGCAAAGAACCTTACTGGGATTCACCATGGATGATTATAAAGATTATTATCAATCTCGTAGATATCATGGATGGTTGTGGCTCGTCAGAAACGAAAACCCACCTGACAAGTTTTTTCGATCTTTCTCCCAGGATGTTCTGCCCGTGCAAGAAACGTCGGGATAAGATGCAAAGAAGGAACAACGTGTCGTACTGGCTGAAGAAAGAGTGAGTAACAGGTTATTAATTTGTTCCAAGAATCTCAGGTTATTATGTTGCCTGAGGAAGTGTCATTGTCTTCGAGAGCCCTAGTCATACATCATAGACGTGAAAAATCAAGGCATATCGTAAAAGGCAAGTAGCTGTATGATACATCATGTCGACGGGGAGCATAGTCATATTTTTAAGAACGATGTGTTAAAAACAATAAAACAAATCGGTTCTATTAATATTTGCACATTCGGCGAACACAACTTCCATAGCCAGCCTATCCTTAAATAATAATTACGTGGATTGTGTACTTGCCAATTTATTACCAAAAAAGTGCAACCCCCAGTTTTGTATGCCACTCAATCAATTTACGTCTGATAATTTTATTTTATTTTTCCGATTTGAGATAGGTTTGGGGTTTAAATTGTGTTTTTCTTACCATCCTGGACTCTATCCCGGACAGAAGTTTGAATTCTGATTATCTGGACTAATTTCGGAAGAAAGGTACTATCCTACGTCGTAGGAGTAGCCCTAGAGATAACGCCCATTTTACAATACTTGCCAACGCATAATGACATCCTGGCATAGATAACAGCTAATGGGTACACAGAGGATCGGGAGAATTTATCTAACTTTATAGCATATTGTATCATGCATTGATGGCATAATGAGTGCCATACTCGTTTTCAAGTGTAGGCGGGAGATAAATATTTAGCCTTTTTGTTCCCAATTTGTTGAGTACGTGATCACAGTCACTGGTTGTAACTATTGTATGAAATGAGGTAGGGTAAGAAAGATATCAGAAGGAGTTAATGATGGAGAGACATGACTTATTATTTGGAACCGGATTTCTGTGCAGATGCATTTTTCCTCTTAAGTCAGAAAGCACGCTGACTTGGGTATGAAAGAAATATTTAATTTACAATTATTTAAGCATGATTTTATGACGCATGTTCTGCATACTTTGCCTGTTTTATTAAGAAACGTCTTATTTCTGCGAATTGCTAATTATTCTGCAAATTTTGCTAGAAAACGTTATCATTACTCGTCTTCATTTATTATATGTATTGTAATAAATTTAATTTTTAATTTTGTAATGCGTTTCAACATGCGTGATTCATAGTAGGTAACATTAATTTCCTGGAACTGAATTATGCTTGATATTTAATAGGAAATACACCTTTCGAGTCTTGCGGACCGTCGAATCCGTCTTGAAAATTGGTATCGCTGAAGATTCAAAACACGTGACTGGAACTCTCACGAGTCAGAGCAGGGGTTTCTCCCAAAAAATGTGAGCGAATTAGAGTGCAAGAAAAAAGTAACTTTCCTTTTTTCACGGGATCAAGATGGCTAATATGGGTTCTCAAATTATTGTGTGCAGATGAGTTTCTAATGCTAATTCAAATGTATTTAAGGATAGACATTCCGTTGTTGAAACGAATACTGTTCTTCAAAATTTCATTGAGCTGTTTAATCAGAGTAGACCTCCGGATGACTGTATTGTGCGTAAACATTACGAGAGACATTGTTATAGTGCGTTTCCCTTAGGACATATTTTCGAACTTTTTACTGCGTAAATATGCATACACATTTCATAGATTATTAGTGCTTATAAATCTGATACCCAATTAAGAGTTTTAAAAACGATGTGATGTTGAAATCAGAAACTTAGTGTTATAAAAAAGTAGCCATAACACACGACGAAATCACTTGTGCCAAAAACACCCTAGGTGAAAACAGCGATAGGGGACACGAACCTGCAGCTTTCGGTTCCCCTGTTCTTGGAAACTGCTTTGAGTCCCGGCACTATCGGGTGACTGCAATAATTGTAGCAGGGTGTAAAAGTCACTTAGTATAGGAGCATGTTTAATTGCTACACAGGTGATTCAAAAATTTTCCACTGCGCTGGTCCCGCGAAACTGAGGATACATCACTAAGACGTGACTCCAAAAATAATTTGAAAATGGTCGTCATTTTCAAATTATCCGAGAAATATTCTCACTATGGATCAGAGAACTGAAACTCTGTCTTACAACATAATGCATTGTCCACATTGTTGCGCTTAAATTTTCTTTTCGCACGGTAAGTATGCTTAAGGTGCTACAATGTGTGACATTTTAGACGCCAAGCACACGACAAAGCGGGAATTGTGAAACATTGAGTGTTCCGCAGTCACAGCTCCCCTTCGTAGTTTCCTCAGGGATATTGCTTCGGAACGATTTATTCCTCTCTCATAGCGCCGAGCTAACGTCCGCTGACTGCGAATACATAAAGTTTTGTCACCATGCGACGCGTTACTGCTTTTCACTGGTGGACATGCTCTTACGATTTTGAACAGCACATTCCTTACTATCGTTGTGATATCGTTCTCATGTGTGGTAACAGAGTTTACAAACACACCTGCCGGGCGATTCATATTAAAGTGCCCTTGTCTACGTATCATGTGGTGGCAGCCGTGTGGCAAGTCTTGTGACTACGTATCTTATTTCGTAAATTGCAACTATCCAATTTATATTTGTATTCGCATCCGTGGCATTCAGCTCTGGCAATAAATATTCCTCTTCTTCTCATTTCCAGGTTGGGTTTTGCCATCGTCGATGCTGCCGTCTCTGGTAGGAGGAACTGGGTCCTCATATTATCGGTTGTGAAGTTTTTACTACCTGGAGGAATTAGGTAAGTAGGCGACTCCATGTTGTAAATGTTTGGCTGCGTCAGTCTAGGACATCAGGGTCACCTCTCGGTGGAGAGATAGTCTGCTCGATGAAGGTGTTGATAGCTTCGCTTCATTCGTACACAAGAACCGGTGGTATCAGTTGTTATTTTATATTTTAACTTTTACAAAATGTAGTTATGGAAGTTTTTCATTCACAAAGAAATCATCGAAAACTTAAAATTATCGCCTTTAAAAACATCGGCCCAAAAAAATTATTAAAACATTTATTTTTTAAAACATTGTTATTTTTAACACATCCGTTTTTTTTAAAATATCGGCTTAAAAACATCGTTTTTAAAAAAAACGTGGATGTTTCTTAAAAATCATTGATAATTTTAAAAACTATCGATGTTTGGAAAATATCGCCATCGATATAGCCTCCCTGTCAGGAAATGAAAACCCTTTCACCATCCACCGAGCTGTCCTACTACGGCTCCGTTGCATTCAGGCGGGGCGACGCGGCGTGTCGGGTGTGTAGCGGTGCGCCTCGCCTTGGCCGGACTGTGGGAGCGGCGGCGGCGGCGGCGGCGGCGGCGGTGGAGGAGGCTGCCGGTGCGCGGGTCAGCGGCCTCGAGGGGCAGTGGGGGCGGGACGGGTTTGCTAACGGTGCGCAAGCAGGGCGCGGGCCGTCATTAGGGCTCTCCAAACTGCTCCCGTGCCCATTCGGCCCTTTGCATGGCCGAGGGAAATCGCCCAACCGCATCGCACGGTCAGTGTTCCCCCTACCCCCTTTCACTTGTCATCCCAGTGCAGCCCTGAGCAGAGTCCAACTGCTTCCCGATTCGTTTATCCGGTATTTCGGAAAGAGCAAAACATTTTATAAACTATCCATTCATAAGTAGGGCAAATTGATGTTCTTACAACAGCCTAGAGAAAACCTCGAGCAAAGGTGAAAATAGCCAAATTTTCGGAATTGTGAATGTTAAGTGTGCGGAGTATAAAAATGCTCGTCATAAAAGGATTGAAGTTTTGTTTCCACAAACTTTCACGTGCGGTTGTGCTCTGAAAGGTCGTGCACATGTTACTTGAAAACGGACGGAAGTGGATTAATTACAATCGATCAATATAATAGCAAGCGGACCACAGCAAATCAACCCTTACGCCAAGGAGAAAATGGAATAGGATGCAGTCCGACAATGCCTTTTTGGAGAGGTAAGTAGGAAAAGCGAACTGCGGGATGCAGTCGGTATGCGCGCTGCCCAAGGTCCGAGTCCATAGTGAATACTTAAGGCCAATTCACAATGCAAACATAAACATAAGCATGGCGTTAACATCAAGGACTACGTCCATAAGCAGACTTATTCACAATGCGTTCGCATAAGCATAATACGAAAGACGTTACTTAAAAGCTTGCACGCTTCAAATATCTGTGCTTATGCTCAAGTAAGACAAGAAATTAACCAATCGCAGTACGGTAACACAAAATTGAGAATCGAAATATGAGCGAAGTCGTCAATAGAAACTCTTATTTTGCTAACGTTTATGTTAGATATTGTGAATACTTCAGTCTATCACTTATGTTAATGTTTACATCTATGCGTTATGCTTATGTTTACGTTTGCATTGTGAATGGCTCTTTAGAATGAATGTTCTTCCACAAAATCTGTTCATTCTCAATGTGCACCAGCTTGCAAATTGGAGTACCTCAATACCAAGATGATTAATGAAATGTAGCACTGGTGGAATGAATGATAAGCGGATTGATAATGTTTGATTGACAAGCAGATTAATGATCAATGAAACGGAGCATCCCGATAAATTCTGTTACAATATCGCTTGATCTCCTCAATAATCATGCATTTGTCTGGGAATTGAACCCCGATACCAGTAACAGAAGTTGAAAGATTTGCCCACTGCAGCGTGGGCTGCCCCGAAACTTAAAAAATAGTTTAGAAGCAGATGATGTTATGAGAATGATTCAGTAACAATTGTTTTGTATTTTATTTATTATATTTTTATTTTTTATGTAAATATGAAAACTCAATATTTACATGGAACGGCAATGAAATAACGACCTCTATATGTAATTTTTAAACCCTCTCTTATTGTTTTCGGATTCCCGTAATCCTTAAGCAGCGTCTGTCAATTCGGTTCCGAGTGTTTATAGCAACTCCTTGCGCCTTTGACATGGCGGCGAAATAATTCGACAGAAACCTATTCCATTTCTTAGTTAGTTCGCTTTTCTGTCCAGGCAAAACTACAGTTTTTTTTTCCCCTCATTCTTCCCATCTGCAATGTATCGGTCCTTTAGAATCTTACTAGGATCTCCCACCGCATTCCTATGTGGAAAAAATCTCTCTGAAGTGTCCCCTCGTGTCTCAGAACATCATACTAACGTGTTGCCCTTCTTGGGATCTGTACCAACATAAATTATATGACCGAGATAACGAGTGAGCCTATTTTGGAGCTTAGCATTATTTGAAGTAAAGGGAGTCAGTTTCTCAATTGCGCACACATACATCGAACACAGACCTCACACACGGTTACCGATCAAAGAAAGGTATTTTGGAAGGATTAGGATACAAAAATTACGTTAGATATTAAAGATCTACCAAATGACACAAACAAGTGAAAAATCCATTTCTTAGGCTGAAACCGAATCTAAAGTCTTAACGTCTCCGTTTTGGGGCACTCTAATCCCCTGCACTATCAGGTAGGTCGGTAACTTGGTTGGTATATAAAACAAAATGGCCATGAATCATTTCTGTCCAATATGTATAATGTACGAAATATTGCATCACTATCGAATTTTTCTTTTTTACGAGGCCGATTGTCATCAATGGGATACCTGAGTTTTACCCATACGTGTTTACGCGCTTTGTGTTTACACGTATCAAGAAGACACCCACAAACCCCCACATTTGCCCTTCGGGGATTTCCACCTCTTGAGCTCTCAGCACAGACGCCTCTGTCCGTGCCCGCCCCCTCCCACCCGCGGTCTCGACTGCTTGCTGCTCAGACGCTCGCTCTTACCAGCAGAACTGAAAGGAGAAAAAGTGCAAAGTATTCCGAGAGTGTGTGGGCACCTTCATAGATAACAATCATTTATTTCACTAAGTAATCACGGTGTAAATTATTCTAAGTAACGAGGAGGCAAAATATCAATTAAAATTAGAACGGGGTTTAGCATTTCGTTGAGTAGCAGAGGAAATATTGCAGAGAACATGGATTGTCCGAAGATTTGTCTTGTTTTAAGACGTCACTATTGTTCACGTGATCCATATTCAAGGAAACGTCACATCGAAGAAAGATGCCGGAAGATGTTCAGCGAAGGTCACGATAATCACGCCCCTTGTTCAGTGTCTGTTCCTCTGTGCAATGTGAGAAACATGATTGTCTTCATACCTTCATAGAATAAGACACGATCTTAATGTGGTGCTTTGCAGTCGAGTGTACCTTCTTTACGAGGTGATTAGTAATAGTCAATTAAAAGGCGAATGTATTCCTAACCTTCCCGTGATTTCACCGATATTTACGATATTTACGACGAATTCAGAGAACCGCGAAGGTTATATAGCACCTGTTACAGGACACACATTTCATTCTCTCTAAATACTATTGAATAAAACGTTTAAAAAAGATGTAAGCTTTGTATCATTTATAAGAAATCATTCCACACAAAACTCCGTAGGTATGCTGATTACAGTATTATCCCTGCGTCCTCCATCAAACAAATTTAACACGAAAAATGTAAAAGCCTGTCAATTACAAAGGAAGCCGAATACGGACATGCAACCCACAACATTCAGCACCATCGTACATAACTCGGAACATTAATTTCAAACCATGTTTTCGTATTCCTTAAGGCTCACTAGTTATGTTGCGTATGCTTTATTTTCAATAAGAACTTTTTTCATTCTATTACATTTTGGAAGGCACCTCCAGTCTGTTACAAAGAATGTCAGAAACATTCAAAGTTGGATTTCAGAATGTTTCAGTATTCAAACTTTTAAACTCACTGTTAAGCGCAGATTATTGGCACGATCCAACTTGTATGCATTGTTGTTCTTCGGGGTTGACACACGTGTGTGACTTTGAACACACTTTTTTACAGAGTTAATGATTTACATCAACGTTTTTAAAAACATTAACAATGGTTTATTTAAAGTCCATGTTTTTTTGTTTGATGTTTGAAAAATTTCTTTAGCTGTTCTCCGAAAGAAAATGTCATTGAGTACCGGTTATATTGGTGGCATTTATATTTACAGTTATTTAATCAAAGCCCCCAAAATCCTTAGCGTAAAAAATGTCCTAGACAAAAGTACTTCCTTCTATAGAAAACATTTGAACACCCAGAGACAATAAAATACAACCAACACGAAGTACGGAAACGTACGTACAAACACGAAAACGTAAGTACTCGTATATGTACTATAGTATTTGCAATGATAATTGCCAATGGGTAATGGCTTTACGATTATCCTGCACTATATAATTTACCATGTTACTGGAGTTACCTTTAAAAATGTGAAATGTTCTGAAATCTTAGAAATGTACTACTAGATTTCGAGTATTTTAATATAGTTCTAAAAGTGTGATCTTAGGGTTTAGTGTATCTACGAAAGATTAAAATGCTTCTCTGGTCACCTTATTAATTTTTCTTGATTAATTTTTGATACACTTCGTTAAATTATGTTTTGACAATTTTTCAATTGCACGAAATGTTCTTTGGAAGGAATTATAAGAACAGTCTAGTTTCTGGAAAGAATAGGAAATTGTCATAGTAATATTAGTTGTACTGATATTTTCTATCAACTATGTAATCATAGTTGTAGGAAGCAATCCATTGTTGCATTACACAAACTTATATAACATACAACACAAGAAACAGTAGAAAAAGGCCTCTCACATATTTCCGCGCGTAGAGTGACTAGTTAGTCTTTAAGTCCGCTTCACACGGTATAGTCACTCTTCCGTGATCATATTTGCTGTTTCACAAGGAATTGTATTTTGTGCAGTTTTCTATTGAATAACGTACGAGTTTTTTCTATGTATTCTATGAATTGTACGAGTAATTCCTACGAGGTTACATGGCTTCATTAACACGATCAAGTCATATTGATATTTTTTTCTTCCTGCTTTAAACTTTTATGTAGATTTAATTGGTAAATGTGTCGTATTGAAATTTTGTTTCGTAAAAACCTTTTGATATTTTCCTTATATTATAAATATGTTTTGTACTACACATTCATCAGTGTGATCATTCAGTTATTCGTCTATACATCAGAATGTATCTCTACCTTTCAACTGTTTCAGTTTATACACAGTAACAAAACTCTGACATGCGACCGTAATATCTTTAAGATCAATCTCTGTAAAACTGAAACTGCCAATCTAGTTCACGCACTTATTATCCAGGTATGCTAGAAAAGCCATACTTTCTGGCAATGTTTCTAACTATTACAATTTTCAAAAATTCAGAGTTCAATGAAAAGGAGACCGACGCCATTTTTTAAAATTCTTTATTCTATCCGTAAAAAAGGAGCCGTTTTTTAGATTTTTATAGTTAGCATTAACTTCAAGCAAAAACTGCGCGAAAACTATACTTTTTTCAAACAATTCTGCAGGATCTTATTTAAAGATCTAATGTTTTAG